AAAATATTCCAGTTTGTTGCTGTTCCAAAGCACACAGGGGTGTCCACAGGCACCTCCTGCACACCCAGAGCATCCCTCACTGCCATCCCAGCCCCTCTCCACAGCAGGAACCAAATTCCAGGAGCTGGACTTGATGGTCCTTCCATGTAGGCCAAGATATTCCATGTAGTTAAACAGCAATTAAAGCCTCTGGAAGGTACAGCAGCAGCAGCAGCACAGTTGGAGGCAATTTAAGCCTCATTTGCCTGTGAAACCGTGAGAGGTAATTTTAGAAATCTCTTCATAAAACCAGCATTTCCTCTGCTCAAGCTGGGTAAGAAGCATGAGAAAATGGAAAACCAAAAAATAAAATAAAATAAAAAACAAAAAACAAACAACCAAAAAAAAACCCACCAAAACAGGGGTTTCCTCATGACAGAGATCATTAGATTTCACAGGGAAGTGGGAGAAAACCAAGGGGAAGAGGGAGGACATCCCAAATCAGCTGAAGGTCAGCATGGCCAAGGGAGATGGAAGGAGAAGCCTGGATCCAGGTACCCACTTCCCCAGGGATCCATCAGAGGGGAGCAGAACAGCCAGCCTGGCATCAGCACAGAGGAACCTCTAAAAAGCTGCAGTTTGACACTGTCCAGACTTCATTACAGGAACTGACTGCCAGGTTTTCAGGTTGTTTTATGCAAAAATAAAAACCAACTCCAGGATTCTTTGCACTCTCTGGAGTGATCCCTGCCGGCCCCAAAATGGGATTCGTTCTGCAGCTCTCAGCTCAGGCTGGGCACCCCATTCCAAGAGTGCTGGGAAAAGTACAACAAACCTGATCAACCCCTCAGAAACCATCCCCAGAGGGAATGTTAAAAGCTGAATATGGAGAGCTCAGCTGAGGATGAGCTGATGTGGTGGCAGGACAGGTGTTGAGGGATGGAAATGCTAAAGAAAGCAAAACAAATCACACTGAAATGAAGCTCAAACTGATTATCCAGAGGGGAAAAAAATAAAACAAAACCAAAAAGGCTGAAGATCCCTTGGAACAGGAGCCTTTGGAAGTGAGTTAGACAAACTCTGGGATTTCTCTTAATTGAGCCAAGGCACTGAGATCATGTGGTGCAAGAGGCTTTTCCTTCTCCAATTGTCTGTTAGATCAAAACAAAAAAGGAAAAACAACCCAAGGTGCCAGCAGGATGCTTGTCCTCAGCCTTACAAGCAATCCATTCTCCTCTGAGCCTGCTGGAAATAAATCCAGGGAGAAAAGCCTTGGGCTCTGTCACCTCAGCCAGCCAGACACAATGCAGGGCTACAGAGGGCAAGACACGTAAAATTTAATTTTGGAATAAAAATTAAACCAAAAGTGGTTGCAAAATGGCCTTGGGTTCTGTGCAACCCCCAAAAGTGCAAGACACGACTCCTCCTGCTTTACAAGGTGACATAAAAGTGACATCAAGTGTGTCCCCACATCCCTGCTCGCTGTTTCAGCCAATCTTACTCCATCCTTCTGTCCCAGCCAGTGGCTCCAGGGAGCATCAGATCCCAGAGAAATGCAGGGAAAAGGGGGAGGAAAGACACAATAAAAACCCAGCACCACTGTCAGCTGCCTCCCAGGTGGTTTGGGAGCAGGCCAGGGCTTTTGGATGAAAAATCAAGTGGTTCTCAAGGAAAGTTAAGTTGTCCTCAAGACCTTTCTGTCCCACATCTTGTTTGTAAATCCATGGAGCGTATCAGGGGTCCACGGGAGCCTTCCTAGTGGCAAAACAATCCCTGTTGGACAAACACCCTCCTGGGAGAGGCTGTGGGGGACCATCCCAAGGCTGTCCCTTCCCTGCTCAAGGCCTCCCTTGGCTCAGGTGTCACCCCCAGCACCATCCTCTCACCACCCCTTTGGTACCGAAAATGAAGAGCTTCAAACCCTATCAGCTGTTATCAGTGCAGATCAAAACAAATTGCCTTTATCTTTGCCTTGATCCCTTCCCCATACCAGCACCACAGCCCCCCAACACCCCAAGGCTGCTTAAGCAAAACCCCGTCCCAATCCCATTTTTTATCCCCATGGAGAGAAAAACACCCAATTCATCCGACCAGAAAGCCACAATCCCATGGTGTTTATGGAATAAACGCCAGCTGGTGCCTTCCCTTTGACATTTAGCTAATAATTGTTGCAGCCAAACGAGCTGACAGTGCTCACTCAGCAGCCCATGAATGCCTCTGGTGTTTGACTGAGCGCTAAAGACAACACTTGCTGCTCTCCAGCTCCTCGTCCATGTGGACACACACACACACAGCCTCTCCTCCAGCCCCGGGAATCAGCTGCTTGGTGGGCTTCAGTTTAGCCATTTGTTCCACCATTACACAGCCACCCCTGTGGGCAGCAGGCAGAGGAAGGAGGGCAGGGAAAAAGGAAGCAGGTACCTCCAGCAAGAGGGCAGGAATTCATTTCTCATTAAGGGCCCTTTGTGATTATCCAGGCAGCCTCTCTCACAGCATCCTGGTTCTGGCTGTGGCACAACCTTTATTCATACCTTCAGGTCCCATTTAGTCCCCTGATCACGTTTTACCACGGGGATGTTCCTCCCCTTTAACTCCCACCTGAGCTGATCTCTGTTTTCCAGAAGATCCACTCTGGGTCCAGGTTCCAGCTGCCTCATGAAAGACAGGTCAAGGAACTTCCCCAGGACTCCTTCCTTTATTATTCCATGAATCAGGGGGCTCAGGTTGGAGATCAGGAAAGGTTCTTCCCCCAGAGGGTGCTGGGCACTGCCCAGGCTCCCCAGGGAACGGGCACAGCCCCGAGGCTGCCAGAGCTCCAGGAGGGTTTGGACAATGATCTCAGGGATGCCCAGGGTGGGATTGTTGGGGTGTCTGGACCCAGTGATTCCTGTGGGACCCTTCCCACTAAATGGGACCTGAAGGTGTAAATAGAGGTTGTGCCACAACCAGAACTGGGATGCTGCGAGAGAGGGGTTGGGGTGTGGTGGCTGCCTGGGTAATCACAAAGGGCAGTTAATGAGGAACAAATATGATCTGCTGAGAGCTCACAGACCCCATCACCAACCCCTTCTCGCCCTCCCTCAGCGTGTCCTGGTCCTTTCTAAGCTGCAGACTCACACCAAGTCTTCCTGCACACACAGGCATCACCTTTCCCCCTCTGCCAGTCCCCTGGAGTGCCCAGGACCTGCTGGCTCAGGCATTGCCACACCAACCTCCCCAAGGGGCTCAGCACCCGCTGTGCCAGCACCCAGCTGTCCTGCACGCCAGAGCCTCTTGCTGAAGAGAAATGGGTTTTCAAAGCATCATTTATGGCAGCATTAGCTGTCCTCAGCAGGCCAGAACGGGGAGCCTGCAGAGAGCCCCTTCCCAGACGGATCCATGTGGACAGACACTATCCAACAGCACAAAACCTCCTGAGCTTTGGGGTGACCTGAGCAGCCCACAGCCACTCCCCAGCCATGGTCTGAGGGTGTTTTCCAGGCTCAGTGAGGCCCCTCTGGAGCTCTGGCACCATCCCCACGCCGACACCGGCACCGCCAGGCTGAGCTGCACACCCAGAGCCACCCGCCACGTCCCCTGCCACGCACACGCCACCTCCTGTCCCCATTTCCCACGTCCTTGGGCTGCTCCACGCCGAAGGACACAAAGGCAAACAGTCCCCCGGGAGGTGGCACCGTGTGCAGGAGCCTCCGTGGGCTGTCTGCTCCTGCCTCCTCTGCTGGGGACAGCAGTGGGACACTGGAGTGGTGGCACAGGAGCCTGGCCCAGGCAGGGCAGGAGAGAGGATTTAGGAATCAAGCCTCTGCTGGCACAGGCAGGAGCAGCCGAGGTACCTGAGCTCACACCTAGAGACCCTCTGCACCCCTCTGCAACACCAAGAAGTTCCCTGTCTTCCCTGTCTCCACTTTGCAGGGCTATTTTTCTAAAATAAATACCTCTGTTTTATCTTTGAGAGGTGTTTCTGGCACAAGGACGGGGATAAAAAGCTCTCCTCCATCAAAAGCCTCCTTCACACATGATTTGCTTTGTCATGGCACTTAAATACCCGCGCAGCTGCCACGGATGGAGAACGAGAGCAGATCCGGGCAGGCACAGGGAAAACTTCACAGCAATACCTGCATTCCTTAAAAAAATAAATTTTCTTTTCCTGGTAGCGATGCCAGCCCAGGCCAATGCACTAAACACCAAGAAATCCATCTCCATCCCCTGGTGAGCGCTGCCGGAGCTTGCTCCATTTTTAGTCAGCTTCAAATTACATCGCCCGTGATCTGCTGCAGGGGAACACCGGCTGGGCAGGGCACAAAGCAGCAGGATGGGGGAAATCCTCATTCGAGCTGTCAAAGCCGGGACGAGCGAGGTAGCAGGGAAGCAGGGAATGGTCTGCGTTGGGAAGGCCCTGAAGGATCACCTCGTTCCAACCCGCGGGCAGGGATGCTCCCCGTTATGGGGTGAGCCGGGGTCAGCAGGGTTGGCACGGAGCAGCCCCCGGGCCGGGATGTGCCGCTGCCCGGCGAGCCCCGGGGCGGCAGCGCTGCAGAACAAAGAGCTGCGGGCAGCCGGCGGCGCCGCTCCCCCGGAGCACGGCAGCTCCGGGAGCCACGCGTGCCCTTCACCCGCGGCGACGGGATGCCAGCGCCGGCCTTGGGGACACGGAGCTCTCCAAGGGCCGGAGGCCGGGCAGAAGCCACCACCACCATCAGCCTCGGGCGGCGGGGCACCGGGCAACAAGCGGTGCCGCCACGGCCGGTGCCCCGGCCCGGGCCCCGCGGTGGGCAGGTGCGGTGCCCGGTGCTCACCTGCTCGGCGCCGTAGGCCGTGGCGAACTGCACGAACTCCTCCACGCGCACGAAGCCATCGCCGTCCCGGTCCAGGGCGTCGAAGACCGGGCGGAGGCGCGGCTCCTCCTCCGGCGGGGGCTCGGCGGGGCTCCCCGGGCTGTCCCCGGCCTCCCCCGGGCACCAGGGCGGCGGCCCCGCGCCGGGAGCGGCGGGCTCAAGTGCCCAGAGGTCCAGATCCAGCTCCGGGCCCAGGTCCGCCTCCTCTTCCAGCCCCGGCTCCGGTTCCAGCTCCGGCTCCGGTTCCAGCTCCGGCTCCGGTTCCAGCTCTAGCTCGGGTTCTGGTTCTAGCTCCGGCTCCGGTTCCAGCTCCGGCTCCGGTTCCAGCTCCGGCTCCGGTTCCAGCTCCAGCTCGGGTTCTGGTTCCAGCTCCGGCTCCGGTTCCAGCTCTAGCTCGGGTTCTGGTTCTAGCTCCGGCTCCGGTTCCAGCTCCGGCTCCGGTTCCAGCTCCGGTTCCAGCTCCAGCTCCAGCTCGGGTTCTGGTTCCAGCTCCGGCTCCGGTTCCCGCTGCACGTCCAGGTCCGGCTCCGGTTCCAGCTCTAGCTCGGGTTCTGGTTCCGGTTCCAGCTCCGGCTCGGGCCCGGGTCCCGGCCCCCGGGGCAGCGGGGGCTCGGTCCCAGGCGGACGCGGCTCCATCTTCACCGCCGGCGCTGCGCGCCCACCGCCGCCCGACCCGGGCCATGCCCCGCGGCCATGCCCCGCTCACATCGGGGCGGTGCCGGTACCGGTACGGTCCCCGCGGCACTCACGGCTTTGTGCGAGGAACGCCGGCCCCGCCCGCCGACACCGGGGGCGGCCCCGCCGGTCCCGCCCTGCGCGGGGAGCGGCGGCTCCGAGCGCGGGGAGCGGCGGCTCCGAGCGCCGGGGCTGCGGGTCCTGGCCGGGATCGGGAGTTGGGGGAGGCGGCGGCGGCGCCGAGGAACAACCCCACCGGCCGCCCGCCCGCTCCGGGGCCGCCGCGGACCAGCGGCAGCTCCAGCCCCGCCGCCGCAGTAGCCGGGGCGGTGACGTCACTCGCCTGCCGGTCCGCCCCGCCCCTCCGCGGCGCGAGCCCGACCGAGGCCACGCCCCCTCCCCGGGCGCGCGCGGCGGGGGCGGGGCCGGCGGAGCGCGAGCACGTGGGGCCGGGGGGCGCTGTGAGCGGGGACCCCCAGATCCCCCTGCTGGGAAACAAACCCTGCTCCGGGACCCCACACCCTGCTCCGGGACCCCACACCCGAACCCTGCTCCGGGACCCCACACCCTGCTCCGGGACCCCACACCCTGCTCCGGGACCCCACACCCGAACCCTGCTCCGGGACCCCGAACCCTGCTCCGGGACCCCAAACCCTGCTCCGGGACCCCGAACCCGAACCCTGCCCCGGGACCCCACACCCGAACCCTGCTCCGGGACCCCAAACCCTGCTCCGGGACCCCACACCCTGCTCCGGGACCCCACACCCTGCTCCGGGACCCCGAACCCGAACCCTGCTCCGGGACCCCAAACCCTGCTCCGGGACCCCACACCCTGCTCCGGGACCCCACAGCCTGCTCCGGGAGCCCAAACCCAAACAGCGTTCCGGGATCCCAAACTATGCTCTAGGACCCCAAACCCAGACTGCGCTCCAGGACCCCAAAATCAAACCTTGCTCCGGGATCCCAAACTGTGCTCTAGGACCCCAAACCCAAACCGTGCTCTGGGACCCCAAACCCAAACTGTGCTTCAGGACTCCAAACCCAAACCCTGCTTTGGGACCCCAAAACCAAACCGCGCTTGGGAACCCCAAACCCAAACTGTGCTCCAGGACCCCAAACCATGCTCTGGGACCCCAAACCCAAACCTCACTCTGGGACCCCAAACCTCTGTGGGGGGAACTGTGCAATGGCACTGCCCAGCTGCTTCAGGTGTGAACTGTGCACTGGAACCCCAAATCCCTTGGGGAGAGGAGCTGGGACCCCCAACCCCAGTGGGGCAGCACTGTGCCCCGGGATGCCCGAGTGCTCCGGGGGGAGCTGAGCACCGGGACAGCCCTGGCACCTCATCAATGGGTTCATTGATGGAGGTTCTGTGGATGACCCCACTAACACACTCCTGAGCTGCCCAGCGTGTGGAATTACAGCCCCTGGGTATAATTAGCAGCAAACTTGATGAGCAGGAGCATCCTTGGCCCCAGTGACCCTGCCCAGGTCACGGATGTGTGTGACATCTCATGAGCAGCCTGGTTGGGCCACAGTGTGACCCCCAGCACACTCAGCCCGGGAGCCAGAGCTCAGCAGCATCCCCAGAGAGAGGTCACCCCTGTCCAGTCAGCCCAGCGCTGGGCAGGATGGGGCTCCTTGGTCAGCCCCACAAATCCTCCAGATCCTTCATTCCAAATCCTCCTCCTCAGCACAGCCATTCCTAAAGGTGAGCAGGGCAGTAGGGAGCTCCTTGGTCAGCCCCACAGGGGAAGCACAGCAGCACCTGCCTCAGCCATCCCCTGGGCAATTCCCAACTTCCAGACAGCTCCAGCAGCCAGGGTTCCTGCACGGATGGGGCTGGCAGGGCACGAGGTGCCAGCCTGATGCTGTGAGAGGCAGCTCTGCACCCCTGGGTGGGTTCCTGAAGCTCCGGGCTATGCCAAGGCTGGGCCCGGAGCTCTGTCCTTCCCCTGCTGCTGGAGACACAAGCTCAGCTCCTTCCTGGGGTGGCCACGGAGCCAGGACAGCCCTGAGAGTGCCCAGGTCACCTGGGCATGGTGGAACAGCAAAATCCATGGAGCCTCCCAGAGACAAGGCTGCAGCTGGGCAGAAGGGCCAACACACAGCACACAGGAACCTTCCCCAGGAGAAAACACATCCTGGGATCCAGCAAGAGAACACTGCAGCTGGAGCCACATCCCAGACTAAGGATCCACCCAGACTCCAGCCCAAGCACTGCATCCCTGTCCCCGTGAAGGGCTGAGCCTCTCACCAAAGCCCTCAGCACCTCCCACCACCTCTGGAACCACCTTCCCAGAGCCCCTGGGGATGAGGAGCTGGCAGGTCCCCAAGCCCCGTGGCCTGGAGCACTGAGGCACCACAGAGCCAAGGACTGGAGCCACACAAGGCCCTGGCAGTGGGAGCAGTGGCTTTTCCCCCTCCCTCAGCACCCAGTTTGGACCAGTCAGCTGAGCAGGGCACTGGTGCTCCTGCAGCAGAGAGAGGCATCACTGCTCAGGGGGAAAATTCTTTATTGGTGGCCTGGAGGGAGGGGTAAAACCTGGCAAGTCTACAATCAAATAGGAAATACAATTAAGTGGGAAAACAAGCTTCATGGAATCCAGGGTGAGCCTACGAACTACCAGCAGCAGCAGGAGGGTGCACATGAGCAGCGTGTGTCCCCTGGGGTGCCAGCACCAGGAACAGGGCTGGCTCCAGCAGCGCCACCCGTGCAGCCCTGCTGTGCCTCCTGCAGCCCAGCAGGAGGAAAGGACTAGATTCCAGTTCCAGCCCTTCACTTTGCCTCAGCTTGAGCAGAAGGAGACAGCATGACACTGGTGTGACAGACAGACGGGTGTGGACAGACCACTGGACACTGCAGTGCAGAACTGGACCTGGGGGATCTGCCCTCACACCACCTCTGCTCCTGCAGGGGCATCCCAGCTGCATCCCTGGCAGCCTCCCGGGACCACTGTCCCACCCAGGACCCCTCAGGGGACACAGCCACCTCCCCCTGCCAGGGTTTCCCCTCCAAGAGTTGCCAGGGCAGAACTGAGCCCACCACGCTGGGTGACCCCAGGCGGGCTGAGCTGCTCCCCCTCCCAAAAAGGAGCTGCTGCTGGGGGTCTCGTGAAGTTCTCAGGCTAAGACAGGGGAGAGGGGACTAAGAGGATGGGTACCCACGGGTGGCACTGCTGGGGGCTTGGGAAAGGCCACCAGAGCAGCTTGGAGGGAGCCACAAAGGGCCAGAGACCACCTCAGCCCTCCCAGCTGTCTGTGCACCCACAGCCAGGCCAGCTCAGAAGGCAGCAATGGCACAGGATGGGGGTGGCCTTGGTCCCCACCCAGCACCCAGAGCTGTGTCCCTCAGGCAGACACGGGACTGGCAGCGTCACCAGTACCACCAGTGGCCGAGGAGAGGCTGTGGCTGTCAGCACTGGCTCTGGGAGATGTCCCCACACGGTGTCCCATGTCACATCTGTCCGTCAGTCAGTCCCAGGCTGTCTGTCAGTGGGGTTGGTTTGCTCCCGCAGCCCAGACATCTGCAAGAGAGGGTGGAGGTGGGGACAGAGCCCTGCTGGGGCCTGCCCAGCTCCTGGAGGCTGCCAGGTGGGACACAGGTAGGGAGGAGAGGAAGGCAGGAGATCCCTTCCCCTGGCAGGCTGCAGGAATTCATGAAAGGAAGAGGCTCTTGGGATTCTCTGTGCTCAATCCTGCTGCTGGGGCACAGAAAATGGGCATTGTGTTGCTTTGGGGGAATCTCAGAGGTGTCTGGACAAGCATCCACAAGACACCATGTCACAAGCCGGGCTCAAAGGGAAAATCCAGCAGGTTCTGCTCATCCCAAGGACTATCCATGAGGACAGTGCACCCACTGCTACAGCAGCCATGCCCTGGGAGAGTCATGGTTAGGAATCATCATTTAAGTTGGAAAAGCCCTCTAAGACCATCAAATCCAACTGTTCCCCCAGCACTGCCAAGGCCACCACTGACCCATGTCCCCAGCTGCCACATCCAGTTTTTAAATCCCTCCAGGAATGGGGACTCCCCCACGGCCCTGGGCACCCCTTCCATGAAGGAATTTTCTCTAAATACCCAACCTAAACCTCGCCTGGCACAGCTTGAAGCTGTTTCCCCTTGTCCTGTCCCTGTTCCCTGGGAGCAGAGCCCGATTCCCCCTGGCTGTCCCCTCCTGTCAGGAGCTGTGCAGAGCCACAAGGTTCCCCCTGAGCCTCCTTTTCTCCAGGCTGAGCCGCTTCCCAGCTCCCTCAGCCGCTCCTCACAGGACCCGTGCCCTGTGCCCCAGGGAAAAGCAGAGTTTCCCTGAGGAGCCCTGCTCCAATCCCACGAGGGGGAAATGCAGTCACCTAGAGTTTAGCAGAGGAGGAGGCAATACCCAGCAAGGCAGAGAAGCTGTTGGGGGAGGTGAGCCAGCTGCCACCATCCACGACCAGGGTGGTGCCGGTGACGTAGGACGAGAGGGGGCTGGCCAGGTACAGCGCGCTGTGCGCGATCTCCGTCTTGCTCCCCGCGCGCTGCAGCGGGATCGCCGAGAACTGGTTGGATTGCTCGGCAAACTTCCCACCTAAAGGGAGCAGGAAAGAGTCACTTGGCACCGTGGGAGGACTGTCCACCACCATGGCTGGCCAGGCACTGCAGCACTGCCTGTGGGGCTGGCTGAGTGCTGCAGGAAACTGGGATGAGATCCTGGCACAGCCCTGGGATACAAACCCAGGAAGATTTAAAGGAGGGGAGCTCAACCCAGCAGGGATTTGGTACTGGCACAGCGAGCTTGAGAACCTCATGGAATCATGGAATGGTTGGGGTTGGGAGGGATCTCTCCTTCTCCTCGCCTGCCATGGGCAGAGACACCTTCTACTATCCCAGGTGGATTCAAGCCTGGTCCAACCAGGCCTGGGCACTTGCAGGAATTCAGGGGCACCCACAGCTGCTCTGGGCACCCTGTGCCGTGGCCTCCCCACCCTCACAACCAGGAATTCCATCCTAATATCCCATCTAACCCTGCCCTCTGGCAGTGGGAAGCCCTGTACCCCTGTACAGCACTCCTGGTGCCCCT